CTTGTGGACAATGCATACTCCTATGCAGAGCGACATCAGCTCATCGTGGCCGTGTCGTGAAAAATGATTCGACGGGTGACCGTCAGCTGCCATGCTTCTTCGCCGTGACCCAGTTCGCAGAAGCGTCTCGACAGATAGGCAGAAGTTCGACGCGAGAGTTCAAGCACATATATAAGGTACATCCACTTCCATGACGCTTCAAGCTTTGCTAAAATGCTTTGTTGTCATCCACTCCACAGAGCAATCGTTCTGGGTCTCCTAATATGGCGCACCCTAGGACTCTGGCCACAGCCGCAATCCCTCATATCTGGTTCAACACCCTTGACGCTGGCTCCGACATTCACCATACACGTTCGCGTCGGCACGACACCGCAAGATCTTCTCGACGCCGTCTCGCGCACAACCAACCATCTTCACACGGACAAGTTCGAGCGTCTCGTCGTTGGCCGCGCATCGACCGATACGCCTCTCCTGGCGAACACATCCAGTCTGCCCCATCTTACCCTCTCTTTGACGGATAGTGCCGATGCTGTGGAAAGCGTCACGGTGGAAGCCCGCAGGCCATTATCTGAGCGTCTCGAAGTCTATCATCTTGTCGTTCCCGACGATGGGTCTGGCGCGATCTTGACGGCAAACTCAAGTCTCGGTCTCTTACGCGGCTTGACGACGTTTGAGCAGCTGTGGTACCATGATGGATCCACCGGTAACAACGTGAAGTATACTATAAGCGCACCTATCGACATCACCGACTTCCCGGCATACGTATGCATGCGTCTTTGATGAAGGGTATCTATACTCACCAGGCCACAAGCCCTATCGTGGTCTCATGCTCGATACGTCACGGAACTTGTGAGCCTTATGCATCGAACAGATCCCTCAGATACTGACTGGTCTCTCAGCTTTCCGGTATCGAACCTGAAGCGACTCTTCGACCAAATGAGCTGGGTGAAGCTCAGCATCTTCCATTGGCACATATCAGATGCGCAGAGCTTCCCCTTGCAGATGCCTGGGTACGAAGAGCTATCGGTTCAGGGAGCTTACTCCGCCAGTCAAGTCTACACACGAGAAGATCTGCAAGATCTTGTCACATACGCTGGCGAGGTGAGGATAGTTACCCTTGCTTGGGGAATCTCTTGATGCTCATGAACGCTCGTATAGAGGGGCATTGATGTACTGCTTGAGATCGACACTCCTGGCCATACAGCTATCTTCGCCGCATCGCATCCGGACTATGTCGCATGCTACGAAGCAGATTGGCAGACGTACGCCGAAGGTCAGTCACAGGCTCCTTTCTCGATCCATGTGAGTTGACGGCTTGCTCCTGTGCCTTCCAGAACCACCTGCCGGTCAACTTCGCCTCGCCTCGCTCGAAGTCGTCAACTTTACCAATGGACTCTTCTCAGTCGTGACGGATGTGATGCCGTCCACACTGCTAAGCACAGGCGGCGATGAATTGAATATCCCGTGCTACGAAGATGACTCCGTCACGCAAGAGCAGCTCCGTACATCAGGAAAGAACCTGACGCAGGCTCTACAGACGTTTGTCGACACATTGCACAGTACCATTCGAAGCAAAGGAAAGACGCCTGTCGTCAAGCAGGGTAAGTTTGATTTTATGCGTCAGGGCGATTATATGATCTGATGAACATGTAGAAGTAGTTCTTGACTATAACCTCACGCTTCCCACAGATATACCTGTATCGTGAGCAGCGTGCCTATCCAAACCGATGCGCGCTCACACACCCGATAGCGTATGGATGTCCTCCGACTTCATCGCCTCCGTAACGCAGAAAGGCCACCCAGTCATCCTGGCTGCATCAGATTACTTCTATCTTGACTGTGGGGCTGGCGAGTGGGTGGTAGGCGAACCGACCGTGAACAGCTGGTGCGATCCTTTCAAGACATGGCAGAAGGTACGTGCGCATATCTTTTGGCGACTTTTGCGTTCAGAAGCTGACGTGTTCTCAGTCGTACTCCTTCATCCCGACCGCCAATCTATCGTCTGAGGAGGCACAGCTCATACTCGGCGGTGAGTGGACGTACATCTACGTTACCGCTGCGTAGCTGTTTGACTACTGCACCATACTTAGGCGAACACTCCCTTTGGACCGAGCAGTCCGGGCCATCAAACCTCGAATCTATAGTCTGGCCACGCGCCGCAGCCGGCGCGGAGGTCTTCTGGTCCGGAGATGCCAGACAGAACTTAACGACGGCGCTCCCGCGATTGCATGAGCTCGCATACAGAATGGAAGACAGGGGTGTGGGGGTCATCAAGCTGCAGCCAGAGTGGTGTGCGTTGCGGCCGGGTATGTGTGACTTCTGATTTCAGGCGCTTTCTATAGGATGATCTACACCAACGACAATATTTACCACCACTTATATGTGACTCGGTATGCGTGGCGCTATCGTGTGAACTACTTGGTCCGGAATAGGAGGAGTATATCTTGTACGAGTATTAGATGCTGTACGCGGCGAGGGTGTGGAGAAATAGCATATGAATGTTGAGAATCGAGGGTTCATGTGGGTCCCTCGCTGTCCCTCGCCAGATACGCTGCGAAGCCACTGCGCACGGGCCGAGGCGCCTTGCCTTCGCCCATCATCACGAATCGAATATTTGGAACATATGCGCGCTGTTCCCAATTACACCGTGTACTCCTCCGTGTACTCCGATCGACCCATAATAGCCATCTTCAACGTCAGCTGAATGTCCTTCTTTCGGCAACTTGTGCTCCGTTCATGCGATAGAAGGTGGCGGGCCACATGTGCCAGCGGGACATGGATAACAGCCCATATAAAGAGGCCCACTAGCCTAGAAGTTGAACGTCCTTCGCCTCCTGTCCTGCTGTCATGGTGTTTCTCCGTGGTGGAGTCGGGCGCACTGCTTTGTGTGTCGTTCTTGCTCCAGTAGCGTTCGCGCTCTGGCCGCAGCCCGCTTCGCTCGCGTCCGGTTCATCGGCGTTAACACTCGCCCCGGACTTTTCCATCCACCTATCAGTCGACTCGGCACCACAAGACCTCGTAGATGCGGTGACGCGCACGACGGGGCATATCCAGAACGATAAGCTTGAGCGCCTGGTAGTTGGCCGAGCGTCTGCGGACGCTGCTTTGCTGTCGAGTGCTCAAACTCTGCCGAGTTTGAACATCTCGTTGGCGGCAGGAGCACCTGCAGCGGAGAGTGTAGCCGTCGAGGCGCGCAAGAACCTTACAGAGCGGGTTGAGCTTGAGGGATATCATCTCGTGGTACCGAATGATGGGTCGGAGGCAGCACTGACCGCGAACTCTACGCTCGGCCTCGTGAGGGGGTTGACGACATTCGAGCAATTGTGGTACTACGGTGGCTCGGAGAACCCGAACACGACGTATACCTTGGAGGCGCCGTTGGAAATCAATGATGCTCCGGCCTATGTGCGTACATCGTTCTTGCGTTGACCACGGTCCTTGCCGCTGACATGAACATTAGCCGTATCGCGGGCTGATGCTAGACACTGCTCGCAACTTGTAAGTTCATCCGCCGTTATCACTCTTTGTACGGTTCCAACTGATTCTCTCCTTGCAGCTTCCCGGTATCGAGCCTTGAGCGTCTCATCGACCAGATGAGCTGGAGCAAGTTGAACGTCTTCCATTGGCATATCTCCGACGCGCAAAGTTTCCCGCTCAACGTTCCTGGGTTCACCGAGCTCTCTGAGAAGGGCGCGTATTCGGCTTCAAAGGTGTATACGCCCGATGATGTAGCAGGTTTGATCACCTATGCTGGCGAGGTGAGTCGAGCCCGTCTATGCCTACCGGGATCGGTGTCTGATGTGCGTTCTGTACAGAGAGGCATCGACATCATGCTCGAGATTGACACGCCAGGCCACACATCCATCTTTGCAGCTGCCCATCCTGACTTCGTAGCATGCTTTGAGGCTGACTGGACAGTCTACGCTGCCGGTAAGCTTCTCTTCGCATGCCTCTATCGCACTACTCGCTCATCAGGTGTCAGAACCGCCGGCCGGCCAACTTCGTCTCGCCTCTCCAGACGTAATCAACTACACAAGCGGCCTGTTCTCCGCCGTGGCAGACATGTTCCCTTCGACTCTGCTCAGTACTGGTGGTGACGAAGTCAACACGCCGTGTTATACCGACGACGCGGAGACGCAACAGGCGCTACAGTCTTCGGGGCAGGATCTTACGCAGGCTTTGCAGGGCTTCGTTGACACTATGCACGATGCCTTGAGAGAGAAGGAGAAGACGCCTGTTGTCTGGGAAGGTGCGCTCGACGTAGCTTGACACTGAGAGTGGGTGCTAACGAGTCGTAGAAATGGTCCTGGACTACAACCTCACTCTCCCCACGGACGTGCCGGTTCTGTACGTCCCCTTCCAACTTCACGCTTATCAAATAACTAGCTGATCTCCTACGATGTATAGCGTCTGGGTATCATCTGAGAACGTCGCTTCGGTAGCTCAGAAGGGACACCCTGTCATCCACGCCGCCTCGGACTACTTCTACCTCGACTGTGGCGCTGGGGAGTGGATCGGAGGCGACCCCACTGCGAATAGTTGGTGCGATCCGTTCAAGACTTGGCAGAAGGTATGTTTGTGAACAGTTGTGGAGTGATTAGGGTGAACGCTCATGTCACAATAGGCGTACACGTTCGACCCGACTGCCAACTTATCCTCAAATCAGACGCAGCTTGTCCTCGGAGGTCAGTTCCCATTACTCCACTTAGCGTTCCTCAAAGTCCATACTCATGCTACAACTGTAGGGGAGCATCTACTTTGGACGGAACAATCTGGTCCCTCGAACCTCGAATCCATCGTTTGGCCTCGTGCCGCCGCCGGCGCTGAGGTCTTCTGGTCAGGCGGCGGCGGGAATCTCACGAGCGCGTTGCCGAGGTTGCACGATCTTGCGTATAGGATGGAGGCTCGCGGTGCGGGCGTGATCAAATTGCAGCCGGAGTGGTGCGCTTTGCGACCAGAGATGTGTACTTTCTAGCGTATTGGATGGACTCGGCTCCGAACCCAGTAGACATCGAACCGTGATAGAAGTGGATGAAGACTAAAGTGGTGGCTACCTGTCAACGAGAGATGTTCGGGGAAAGGCGTGGAGTAGATTGGTACGCTCGACAGCCTGAGATGGAAATGGATTCATCCATCATCGCACGATAGTTGCAACTGCCGATGGCTCAAGGATGCTCCCCGAGGGTACTCAACACTCAACGTTCAACGTTCAACTGCGCCCAGTCAGCCTAGATGTACACGTTGATTAGGCTCTGTGTCCGGCTATGGCCTGAAGCACGCAAGATCGATGGTTCAGAACGTTCAAGGCTGTCCTGCTGACGCGCTGGTTCGCGCTTCTTGATGGTGGCGGGGAAAGCATCGGTGTCTTCCTGCGACTTTTGGGCCGCGAAGCAGCACAACTCTGCTGGGGTGCGGGTCATGATTGACGCGGCTCTATCGAGGACATAGCAGGTCAGGTACAAGGAAAACCTCGAGAGACTGCGGAACGACGCGTATATGTCTGCACGTGACCGCGTACTAAGCAGCGCCTAAGCAATGGCGAATCGGCTTCGCCGACCACTGATTCCGTTCCGGTCAGCCATCATCTTGTCAAGAATCGTCTATCGCACGCACCTCTTTCTTTCCTTTCCTTCACCACCACCATCTCCACTCTGTCCTTCAGATCTCTTTGGGCTCCTAAGGCTGCTCTACGCACCGCTTCTCTAGCCCTAACCTCGTCTTTTACCGTATCTCGCTCGTTCGCGACACCTTTCAATACAATGGCACCTGTCCAACCCCAAGGCCCGAACGGCCAGAGCTCCAAGAAGCACTCAAAAGTTGTGAGTATACTGGCCTCGGACTGCGAGGAATATCATGCTCTGGTATCGTTTGTTGCCACGTCGCATTCTCGCTGGCATCGCTGCTATCTACTCGCCGCGATGCACTCGATCTTCTGGCCGTCACTGGCCGTGTACCGTCGCACGAGTCTGGCGCTGCGTGCATATGCGCTATTTGTGCTAGCGTATCTTGGTCTTGCGACCACAGAGATGGTTGGCACGCCATCGCATCGCGATCCCTGCGCCGAACGCGCGCTCATCTCATCCTCCATCCCCATCGCATCTCCATGTCAACTTCTTGAATCCCGCGGCGAAACGCTTACTGATGCGGTCCCCGCAGGTGATCATTGGCTCCGGTCCAGCAGGCCACACAGCCGCCATCTACCTCGCACGCGCCAACTTGAACCCAGTGATGTTCGAGGGCTTCCTGGCCAACGGTTTCGCTGCCGGCGGTCAGCTCACCACCACGACTGACGTCGAGAACTTCCCCGGTTTCCCCCAGGGCGTACTCGGCCCTGAGCTCATGGAGAAGTTCCGCGCTCAGTCTGTTCGCTTCGGAACGGAGATCATCACCGAGACTGTTAGCAAAGTCGATCTCAGCACTCGGCCGTTCAAGTACTGGCGCGAATACTCGGAGAACGACGAGCCCGAGACGGCCGATTCTATCATCATCGCCACCGGAGCTTCCGCAAAGCGTCTCGGTCTTAAGGGCGAGGAGACGTACTGGCAGAGCGGTATCTCTGCTTGTGCCGTGTGCGATGGTGCCGTGCCGATCTTCAGGAATAAGCCGCTCGCTGTCATTGGTGGCGGCGACTCCGCGGCGGAGGAGGCGACGTGTGCGTTACACCCTCCCAGTTCATACTCACGCTTATCCGCTTCTGACCGTCCATCTCCCGATCGTGTATAGACTTGACGAAGTACGGCTCGCACGTCTATGTGATCGTGCGCCGGGACGAGCTTCGCGCCTCGAAGATCATGGCTAAGCGCCTGCTCAACAACCCCAAGATCGTATGTTCGAGATCTAATCGTACACGCAATTGTATACTGATCTTGGATCTCCGTTCATAGACTGTTCTCTGGAATTCTGTCGCGACTGAATGCCAGGGTGATGGCGACCTCTTGAACAACCTTCGCGTGAAGAACGTCCAGACAGGTGCGGAGTCTGATCTTCCCGTCAACGGCCTGTTCTACGCCATCGGTATGTTCCGCCGCTTTCTTATCTACGCGAACACGCCTGTTTACGATTGGTTTCCTCCTTTAGGTCATGAGCCGGCAACTGCCCTCGTCCGCGACCAACTGCAGACTGACGCCGACGGCTACATCATCACGGTCCCCGGAACGACCCAGACCTCCATCCATGGTGTCTTCGCCGCCGGTGACGTTCAGGATAAGCGTTACCGTCAGGCGATCACATCGGCTGGCTCTGGGTGCATGGCTGCGCTCGAGGTCGAGAAGCTCATCGCCGACGAGGAGGCTGACGCCGAGTAAACCTATGAAGCAATGTATGAATGATGCGGTGTTGTGCTCGAGGCAGATGTAATCTATTGGCCTTTTTACCTACCGACCTTGCAAACTAGAATTTATATAGACGGATTCGAATGTCTCTGATGCCGCTGCAACATTCGAATCTTACGGAGGGAAAGGACAATCTTCTGTCTTTGGAGTGAACCTCTTAGCGACCTGAGTGCTATGGTGCAGTTCGACTTTGTACAGGCGTTAAGCTTGAGCTTGGGACGCGTCGGAGAAGTCGGTCCGAATAGCCCGCGACGCGCTCTGTGTCCGTACCTCCGCGGTCTGGCTCACCTCCGTACTACCATCTCCAACGGCATACCCACTTTCAACGCGTCCTATCCCACACGCTTGGGAGACATACACCCCCGTCGGACTTAACATGGCATTATCGCCATCTGCGAAGAGGACCCTACTCGATGGTGCGCCCACGTCGCATCGTGGAAACTGAAGTCAAGTCTGACATGAATCCCATAGTCGCGCTCGCCGTAGCCTCACAAGTGAGCTATCCGGGGAAATACTTCATACTGTGATGTTGAGCGCGTAACTTAGGTGGCATTATGGTACACAATATCCGTACGTTTCTCGCTCCACTTCCGCCCAACCAGTCAGCCTGATGTACGACCCTCATAGCGCGTAATCGACATATATACCAAACCCACCGACGAGAAGCGGTCCGAGAAGTCCAAGGCGGGTGTCAGGAATCTGGAGAGGTTAGGGCACAAAGGACTGGAACTGGACGAATACGAGCGTGCGTCTCTCCTTTCAAACCACCGATATTCAATGCTGACCAAATCGTGTGGTATATAGGCGAAATAGCGTCGGAAATCATTCACCCAGACGACATGAACGTCCGCTTCTCCGACATCGCCGGCTTAGAGGATATTATCGCTTCGCTCCAGGAATCCGTTATCTATCCGCTACTCTACCCTCAAATATTCCAAACCTCGACGCTACTGTCCGCGCCCAAGGGCGTCCTACTATACGGCCCGCCCGGATGCGGCAAGACTATGCTCGCCAAGGCTTTGGCGAAGGAGTCTGGGGCGACCTTCATCAACATCGCCGCGAGCGTGTTGACGAACAAGTGGTTCGGCGAGAGCAATAAGCTCGTCGCGGGCTTGTTCAGGCTAGCGAGGAAGTGCCAGCCGAGTATCGTCTTCATTGACGAGATCGACTCGTTCTTGAGGGAGCGGGATAGAGGAGACCATGAGGCCACCGGGATGATGAAGGCCGAGTTCATGACGTGCGCATTCAGGCTCCCTGGACGTCGAATCTACTACTGGTACTGACGCATCACATTCTATAGGCTTTGGGACGGCTTATTATCTGCAAACGACAGGATACTGGTCCTTGGCGCTACCAACCGCATGCAAGATATCGACCCCGCGTTTCTCAGGCGAATGCCCAAACGCTTCCCCGTATCACTACCGGATGTCCAGCAACGCGAGAAGATCTTACGATTGGTACGTGGTTATCCCTCACCCCTCATGCCGCATTCTCCATTGCTGAAACATCTCCCAGATGCTCAAAGACATCCCTCTTGAACCGTCCTTCCCTCTGACCCACCTGGCCGAATGCACGCCCCGAATGTCCTCCTCCGACCTGAAAGAACTCTGCCGCAACGCCGCCATGGTACCCATACGCGAGTTCATGAGGAAGAGCGGCGGAAACGTCGAAGTAATGCAAGACGCGCAGGAGAAGGGCGTGCAGTTGCGACCGCTGACGCTCAGCGATTTCGCGAATCCGGATGGGATACATATCACGTTGCCGGATCCTGTGGACTAGACGGGTTGGGATGTGTCGTTGTGGCTCCTTGGAGGTTTGATGGTGCCTGGGCTGTAGATGTACTGTATTGTTTACCCTCGCTCATCGCTAATACACCCAATAATCTGAGTTATCTTTGGACCGTGGGCTTTCGGGCCTGCAGCAATCCAGAGTTCAAAATGCCTGCATTGACTGGATATTACATATTTCCTGATGGATTCAGACACGCTTGTCGAGGCCTTGAGCTGAGATTGCTCAAAATACTCAAGTACTTAACGTCGGTACTACTACTATCGCAAACGCGCAACGTTCGAGGTGGACGGATGTAGGTCCATGATGCATAATGGTCGACCTGCACATCCGCGACCTGCCTCCGCCCACCATCTCGGTAGAACGCGCGTCGTTCTTCACTTGCCACTTATATATGCGCGCGTTGTTGCTTACGACGTATGAAGCTTATGAACTCCTTCTTGAATATCCCAATAGGTCTGTAGAAGGACCCACGCCGGCATATCAGATAGAGACGCCGCGGTTTGTCGTAGTGTCGTAGTGCATCAGACTGATCCACACCGTGGGCCCAAATCTGCATCGTAAGCGTCTACGTCGTATTTGAACGCTTCAACATGAAGGACTGGCGCTGTTCTCATTCTCAAGCAGGAAAATCAAGCGACACATCGACTGCTATTCGGCAATACTAGTGTCCGAACCGGTGTCATGGGGTGGCCGCTCGTACTTCTCCCCCTTGCTCTCTAAGTATATGCCTGCAACGTCCTGCGCTCGTCCCCACACGGGCTGCGAGTCGCTTTCAGAAATGAATCTTCTACACTCCCAGAGCCAGTGTATCTCCGTTGGGTGCCTTTCCTCCAGGGGGAGTGAAAGACACGCATAGGGCTTTGCAGCTTCCCTTTCGCTTTGCTGCGGCGTCACCTGTCCTGTTGGAACTGGCCCACCGCTGCCTATATAGTCGGAGGGCCATGAGCGTCGCCCCTTACCTTCGACTCGATCACTCAATGTACGGCATCAGACGCCTCGTGACGCGCCTGTCATTGCTCGCGCTCATCTCAGCTTCTCAATGCACTGCCCTTTGTTCGGCTTCAGATGAATCTGAATTTCCGACGGTCGCACTTGACAACGGGACTTTTGTAGGCGTGACGGAGGGACCCATATCCATCTTCCGCGGTATCCCGTTTGCTCAGCCACCGTACGTCGTCGTATCTCATGTTTCAGCTTCATGGTTCTGACGCCTTCGCATGATAGAATTGGAGACCTTCGGCTTCGACTTCCAGTAGCAAACGATCCATACAATGGAACGTATGATGCCACCGCATTTGGGGCATCGTGCATACAGCAACTCAGCAGCGACAAGAACCTCACGGGGCTGAATCCTGTTGCTGCGACTATTCTTGAAGGATTCCTCAGTGACTCGAATATCACGGACAGTGAAGACTGTGAGTCCCCCGACTGTCCCTTCGCGGCTATGTTCATAAGGGTTAGGTCTGACTATCAATGTCTACACCCCGGCCAATGCGACCGAGAACTCACAGTTACCTGTCGTCTTTGTCAGTGTGCTGTCTCGTTCATCTGCGTCGCGAGCTGACTAAGGATTGCAATGACAGTGGATCTACGGAGGTGTGCACTGACTTGGATGCCATCTTTCCCTTTTACACGTTGCCTGCTAGGGGGTTTCGAGGATGGGCAAACGGCAAGCTTCAATGGGTCCGTCATCGTGGAGAGAGCTTTGCAGCTCGAGCTGCCGGTTGTCTACGTGTCAGTCAACTATAGGTATGTGCGCAGTCATTGCTTATCACTCCTGTCCGATACTGAATGTCTGATAGGCTCTCTGGTATGCTCGTCCATTGGACTACGGGTGCGGCGTAAGTGTAGTTGGACTGATGACGGCATGCTAGCGCTGGGGTTCCCTGGAGGTAGAGAGGCTCGGGATGCAGGAGTCGAAAATCTAGGACTGCAAGACCGCACGTCTTCTCCACATGTACACGAATCCGACGGGGCGCTGACTTCCTTCAGAGCGTCTGGGCATGCGCTGGGTGCAGAAGCACATTTCCGCCTTTGGAGGCGATCCCTCGAAGGTGATCATGTAAGGTCTCTCTGGTTTTGACCCAAGCAAGTTGTTGACGAGCTCTGTACGCAGTTGGGGAGAGAGTGCAGGCGCGATCTCGGTCGCTTTGCACATGCTGACCAACAACGGTGACAATGAAGGCCTCTTCCGTGGCGCCTTCATGCAGTCTGGCAGCCCTACTTGGACAGGGACGATGCCGGAAGACGATGGTATGCAGGTTCAGTAACCATTAACATGAAGCTGCAATTCTAACGGGGATCTCAGGCCAATCTAACTTCGACCAGTTTGCAAGCGACGCGGGATGTGGCTCCTACCTGGGAAACGTGACAGTCCTCGACTGTCTTCGCAACGTGTCTACAGTCGATCTCCGCGCGGCTATCCAAGCTTCTGCGGATATATTCGACTACTCGAGTTTGAACTTGGCTTGGATGCCGCGCGTAGGTGGCACATTTGTGCCAGATATACCAACGAGACTTGTGCTTAACGGTTCTGTGGCCGATGTGCCATTCGTGACGGGTGCGTTGCTACGCACTCCGGCGCCGATCGCGGTAGCTGATGTCATTGTAGGTGATTGCGATGATGAGGGAACGCTCTTCAGCCTGAGCAATAGCAACATAACGTCTGTGCGTTCACTGCAATGAAGTGGCTTATGAATGCTGACGGCTGCACAGCACCGAGGAGGAACTCCGTCAATATCTCCCTCGCTTCTTTCCGTTTCCTACGAACTTCACTGACATCGACGATGTCCTCGCCGCATACCCTGAAGACCCAGAGCTAGGCTCTCCTTTCGAGACCGGTCTTGAGAACGCTGTTACGCCGCAATTCAAGCGAATCAGTGCGATACTGGGCGATCTCATCTTCCAGGCCCCACGCCGGCTATTCCTCTCTGAACGCTCCGAAAACAACACTGCCTTTGCGTTCTGTACGTGCACTCTCTTTGTAGGTGCCTTTAATGCCTATCTGACGCGCGCTATCGATATCAAGTGAGCAAGAGGCTGACATCAAACCCCGTCCCGACTTTGGGCGCTGTGCGTTCTTCATTGTCAGCCCTTCCCCGTCCCGTATATTGAAAATTGCTGGCACAGTACCATAGCACCGACTTACAGAACGTTTACGGACCTGGAGACCTCACAGACGCATTGATCAACTTCGCAACGAACCTGGACCCTAACGGCCCCACGCTCATCGACTGGCCCGCATACACAGCAGACTCGCCGATGCTGCTCGCTCTGCTGGACGGGAAAGTGACGCAGGAGCTCGTCAATGACACCTTCCGCGAAGAGGGGATGCTGGTCATTAACCGGATTGTCCTTACCAACTCGATGTTATGAGATGCGGTAGCATATCAATATCCGGGTTGTATCAATGCATGCTAGGTTCGATATTCTCTTCACGAAGGCACGTCGTCAAAGACGTCGCGATGGATACAGTACACATGAATGCGGCACTTCTTCTATGTGAACGCTGGCTCTATTTTTGGAGTATATGTACAGAATGAAAGGCTACGACTTCGAAGTCGGATTCGATCGGCCGGGTTTGCCGCGCGATCAGCATGTGAAATCCTGATTGTATGTGTTTATGGGTCCATTGATGCGCAGAAAAGCGCGTCGCGCGCCAACGTCGCGCCTCTCTGTTCAACCAGTACCACCGCGTCGATGTGTTGAATTGTGCGGCCCATGTGATGGTATACAATGTCAAAGCTCTACGCAACGTGCGCGCTGCGCTGGTACGAGATAGTTACTAGGCGTTCTCCGTCGTCGAGACTCGAATTGAAAAGGGCTAGGGAGCTCGAACCGACGTGCATGTGTCTATGCGTTTAGGCAGACTGTATCTGCAGACCATTTCATCTCGGATGAGCTGGTATCTTATCACTTATGGAGCTTGCTTGCTACCACTACCTCCACGGATTGCCAACCGTCCGAACGGATATTCCGTGTCATCAACGCCACGAACCTCATGTTCTCGAGGCGGAGGCGCTCGGCTTGACGCCCGCGGCTCGCCCGCTGGCGACCCATTTTGTCCCTCGTCGTCGAAGCAAATAGATCTCGCGGCAAGGG